AGAGAAGCGAAAGAATCAAGAAAGTGATGCAAAGTTCGCAAAGTATGAATTAGAAGAGATGATGTTGATGGTTACAACAAGGGATGAAGAAAGATTCAAAGACCAATGGTACTTGGGTTCAGGATGCTCATCACACATGCTGGAAGGAAAGATTGGTTTGTCAACATAAAACCCTCGATGAAGAACACAATGAAATTTGCAAATGACAATACCCTAGTAGCTGAAGATATTGGTGTTGTTATGATTATGAGGAAAGATGACAAGAGGTCAGTAATTTCCAATGTGTTGTACATATCAGGCCTGAAGAGCAATTTGCTCAGTATAGGGCAGTTGATCGAAAAGAACTATAAAATGTCGATCAAAGACAAGATGATGAGAGTCGTCGATGCAAATGGAAGGTTAATCTTGAAGGCTCCTATGTCTCAAAATAGAACCTTCAATATTGACCTTAATGTGATAGAGCACAAGTGCCTTTCAACTGCAGTTAGCAGAGATGAATGTATATGAAATTATCGATTAGGCCATATCAACTTCAAAGACATCAGAGATTTGAAGAGAAGAAAGATGAAATATGGTTTCAGGGTTTCCAGAAATTGTAATCCAGTAGAGGTGTGTGAGGAATGTGTGTAGGCGAAGCAGCACAAGAATAGCTTCAGTAAGGATGCAGGAAGCAAGTCGAAAGTTGTCCTCAAAGTCATATACTCTGATGTATATGGACCAATCCAGGTGGATTTGTTTGTAGGTAACAAATACTTTGTCACGTTTATAGATGATTATCACAAATTATGGACTTACCTGATCAAGAAGAAAATTGAAATGATCGAGTTATTTGCCAATTTTAAGTCTATGGTCGAAATACAAGGTGGTCGAAAGCTCAAAGTTTTGAGAATTGAGGGTGGTGGAGAATATGTGTCGAGATACTTCAACAAGTTATGTGAGAAAGAGGGGATTGTGAATGAGGTGGTGCCACCCTACACTCCACAACATAATGAAACTACAGAAAGGAAGAATCTAACCATCATGAATATGGTGAGAAGTATGTTGAAAGGCAAGTATTTACCTAAAGAGTTTTGGGGTGAAGCTGTGCCAACTGCAACATACATATTGAATAGATGTCTGACGAAGAAGCTAGAAGAAATTAGTCCAGAATAATGTTGGTCTGGTGTGAAGCCTAACTTGAGTCATCTGAAGGTATTTGGATCTATTGCACATAGACATGTGCCAGATCAGTTAAGAAGAAAACTTGATGACAAGTCGAGTCAGATGATCCTAATAGAGTATCATTCAACAGAAGGTTACAAATTGTTCGACCCAGTGAACAGGCAGATTGTGATCAGTAGAGACGTGATCATAAATGAGCTTAAGGAATGGGATTGGAAAGAAAATGTCAAGAAATATTCTGTAAGAATCTTATTCAAAGAACCAACAGTTGAAGTCAAAATAGAAGTTCGACAAGAGGAACCAACATTTATAGATCAACCAGGAACAAGCAGACCTCAAAGAACAAGACACATGCCTGCAAGGTTGTAAGATTATGTGATTAAATTAGATGATGTGATAGATAATGGAGGTGAGTTGGTTCATTTTTCTTTCTATGCAGATGTCGAACCTGTCAATGCAGCTGAAACATTGAAGGATTTGAAGTGGGTGAAAGTAATGAACAAAAAAGTGAAGTCTATCAAAGACATCAACACTTGGTCACTTATCGAATTGCCCCAAGGCAAGAAGGAAATTGATGTCAAGTGGATATATAAAGTGAAGATGAATCCCAAAGGGAATGTAACTCGACACAAAGCGAGGCTCGTGGAGAAAGGATTTCTACAGAAAGAAGGAATAGACTTCGATGAAGTTTTTGCACCTGTGGCTAGGATCAAAATAATCAGGTTGGTTATTGGTCTAGCATAAATAAACAGTTGGCACATTTGTCAGATGGACGTGAATGTGCATTCCTGAATTGACCCTTAGACGAAAAATTTTATGTTAAATAACCAGTTGCGCTTGTGAAACATAACAAAGAGAGAAAGGTGTACATGCTGCATAAAGCCCTTTATGGTTTGAAACAAGCTCCAAGAGCTTGGAATAAGAAAATTGATAGTTTTCTAAGGGAGAAGGAATTTGTGAAGTGCACAACTGAACATGGAGTATATGTAAGAAGAAGCAATAGTAAATTGCTTATACTATGTCTCTATGTCGATGACTTGTTAATAACAGGTAGCTACAAGAATTAGATCGAAGACTTTAAAGGTGATCTCAACAAGGAATTTGAAATGTCAGATCTGGGTGACCTTTCATACTTCCTTGGTATCGAATTCTACAAGAGTAGTAGAGGTTTGATGATGCATCAAAGAAGATATACAAGAGAAATTCTCGAGAAATTTGATATGGAAGAATGCAACTCAACTTCGACACCTGCAGAACCAAGGTTGCAACTGTCGAAAGATGCAGAAGAAGATGATGTCGATCCAACCTAATACAGAAGACTTATTGGATCATCAAAATGCCTTTGTCATACAAGGCCTGACTTAACATACAATGTAGGTATGGTAAGTAGATTCATGCAAAAGCCAAAGGTATAACATCTAGCAACGACAAAGAGGATACTAAGGTATATGAAAGGAACTCTTGACTATGACATTTTGTTTCCTGCAGTTGATAAAGGAAATGAATGCAAGTTAGTAGGATACACTGATTCAAGTTGGTGTAGTGATACTGAAGATCGAAAATCAACAGCAAAATGTGTTTATGTTAGGTGGTGCACCACTTGCTTGAAGTTCGAGAAAAGAACTAGTAGTGGAATTATCATCATGCGAAGCAGAATACATAGATGCTTCTTTTTGTGTCTGTTAAGCAACTTGGATGATGAACTTGGTCGAAGAGATAACATGGAATGATCATGAAGTAATTACCATGAAGATCGACAACATGTCAACTATCAATTTAGCAAAGAACCTGATAGCTCACGGTCGAAGAAAGCACATCGAAATGAGGTTCCATTATCTTCGAGAGTAGGTAGCAGATGGGAAGATGAACTTGAAACACTGCAGAACTGAGAATCAGATTGCAGACATCATGACGAAGGGTGTGCAGGTCGAAGTATTTTGAAGACTAAGATCTATGATGAATGTAGATAGTTTAGACACAATGAATTAGGTGGTGTGTTAAATTGTAATTCCTTGATGTCGAAACTATGTTGTCGAAGCAATTTGCTCGACAGAGACAAGAGAATATCGAAAATATTTGATTTAGCGTGAAACGGTTTATTACACACATATTTGTTTTAGATTTACATAGATTTGATTTAGATCTAAAATAGAATAGATTTGATTTTTATTCCAAAATAGGTATTTTGGACTTTTATAGTTTTGGGCTTTGCCTTAGGGAGCAAGCTAACCTAAATCTATAAATAGAGGGAGTAACCCCTATTTTGTAATCAAGTCAATTAATTGTATTCACAGAATTTACAGTTACAAATAAATGATAAAATTTTCTACAATTTATAGGCAGAAAGAAACTCTGTAAAAAAATAATTGTGTTCTTTTTTTCTTCTTTTCCTTCTTATTTTTCATTGTCATTATATGATAATTTCAATCTTATTCATAAAGATTAATAGAAATTTATCATAAATTTTAATAAATTTCTAACATTAACAAACCACTTTATTACACGCCCCACCTTTTCCAACTCCTCAAATACTACTTTATTTATATTTTTAATTGTTGTCAACATCTTTATTTTACTTAATATATTAAAAAAATTAAAGATATTACTTTTATTTATTTACTCTCTCCGGTCTTTATAAATTATTAAACCCATTTTACTATAAATGTCAAATTTGTTGGGGGGAGTCCGAGAGAAATTGGGTTTATTAGTGCTTTCGACTCTCTCATATTTGAGCGAAGAATATTTTTTATTTTAAGATTTTTTATTTGAATAAAATATATTTATAAAAGATATATTACTTATCCATTTAAAATTTTAAAATAATAAGTAAGTGAATCCTCCCACTTAAATGCTCAAGTCACCACATTTATATATAATGTGTGATTATTTTTCACATTTGTTATATTTTTAACAAAATTTTATTATAAATAAAAAATAAATACAATTACAATCTTATTAAATTATTTAAGAAAAATCATTTTAAAAAATAGTTTATTAAATATTGATGTATTATTCTTAATAAACATATAGATTTATTTATAGAAATGAAATTTTTTTATATAAAAGGACCAGAGAGAGATGATCCTCTAGAAAATATTATTTTTTGAATTTATTGTATTTAATAGTTTTAAAAATATTAATTTATTAATATCAATATTTACATTAGTGTATTATAAAAAAATAAAAATAATACTGTCATAGTGGATTGAACCTTATCAACAACTTACTTCCATTTAAGTGTTCTTTTTAACTTATAAATTAATATATTTTAAAAAATTATTTAATAATTATAATTTTTCTAAAATTCAAGCATTAGTTAAGTTAAATGCATGTAAAATCTTGATCTAATGTTTAATCACTTGCTATAACATTTTTTTTTGTTGTTGTATATAACAATCAATTTTTTACATCTTCATAAACAGTTTATCTCATAAAAAAAATAATCCAAACTAGTATTAACTACAATTAACTTGTTTTTTACAAACAAAGCCGATATGCATTATTTACTTTGGAAGATTTTATAATTGAAGCTTATCTGTAAGAACAATAATCAATACAAATATTCAAGAGGTGGTATGGACGTTGCAGGTAGTAGAATGATCCTATAACTGCAACGCTGGCACATGAAAATTAAAAAAATGAAAAGCATCACACGGATTTAATGCTTAAATGTTGGTAAAAGTCAATATATGTATAGGACGTGTGAAACTCTCGCAGCAAGTCTTCCCTTTTTATATTTCTAACTCACAACTACGCGTTAAATCATTCACCATCCGTTACAAAAACGCATAATATAACTTGGCTCTTTCTCAAATCAAAACATATCTTCACTCTCAAAAATGGAAGAAAAGCAACGATGGGATTGTGGAAGCACGTTATACGACTCGTACGAGTTAAACTCATTCAAACGCCAAATCGACTCAGCTATAGCCAATTCACCAAGAACACATTCCATGCCTCATTTATCTCAACCTACCAAACTTCAACTTCAACTTCAACTTCAACTTCATCAGCCACCACCTTCTTCTTCTTCTTCTTCTCAAACCATCAACAACAACAACAACAACAACAACAAGTCGTCTTTCAAGATATCTCGAACCTTCCAGAAACTTCTCCGCTTTGTTTTCAAGTCGGGAGGCAATAAATCCAACAACAGGATCCGTAGCAGTAGTTTCCGATCATATCCGAAAGATGAAGAACAGCTTGTTTATGATAAGCTCTATGAATCTGAGCCTGTTCTTCTTTCCACCATTCCTGAACTTCCTGACTTTGAAACCGCTGGTCTTTCGCCGGATATCAGTAACTTTGTCAGAAAGTCAGCTTCCGAGCGGTTTACGGCCACAGCCACCGTTGGTGTTTCGTGTAGTGCTTAATTAATAGCCTAGTTTTTATTACATGATGGTCATATACTGATATAATATTAACATATCGTAATAACTAGTAATAATGCTAGCTAGAGCTAGCTTCATGAAGTCAAAAGCGTACTGTAGCATTTACTACTAACATGTTGATATTAATGAGTATTTCTGGTTTTAATACTTTTATATAAAGCGTTGTGATGAATCACGATGCAATGTATTGAATGTTTAATTTAGATTATTTGAATTTTGGATCATCTACAAATCATGCTATTATATGGCTTGTATTATGGTTAATTGTTTTCTTTTGTATTATTTGACTTTGTTTGTATATTGTTAACTAAAGAAAAACACATAACAAGAAGCTTTGTCTAAACACGAAATGGGACATATGGTAAACAATATCATTTTTTTAATAAAAAATCTTGTATTTGTTGATTATAAAAATAGTTAACACTACAGAATTCTCGAAGACAAATGATAAATCGAATAAGCTAAGCGTGCTAAAAAGATTAATTGTTGATATTTCGAAAATTTTAAGAAAATTTAGTCGATAAGAGAAGTTTGTCGCTCTGGTCCTCGGAGAGATACTCCTAGGTGACATGTATAGTTGGACGGTCGAGGTTCCAAATTGAGGAGACGAATATAATGGTGTAAACTGTTGCATGAGAGTTACAAAAATTGATGAAGGAGGCGTTACACCCTCATGACTGTGACGGCAAACGTTATGAACTTCGTGGACTTAGGAAGGTCATTTCCCAATGAATACAAGACCTGAAGATTTAGCATAAAAGAGAGCCTCCCATGAAAGAAAATGGTCAACTCAACCATAACACATGAAAACACAAGCGAACTAATAACCTCAAAAATTTAATATAGTTGCAGTCTCGCCTGATTAGCTTCAGGGAGGCTAGCCAAAAGTGTTTGTCAAAAATATTTGGCACTCACCGTAGGGCCTAGGTAACACTTTCCCAAGTCGCACATCAATCCTAAAACTCACATTTTCATAATGATAGGGTCTTCACTCAGCAGGAGCGACCCGCCTCTTCCACCAGACATGGCGTACTTGCTGGCAATAATGGAGGCTCTGCGACAGCAGAACGAATCTCTTCAAGATAGTGTCCAGACGCTCAAAGCTCAGAGCTATCCATACGGGGATGCAAAAGAAGAGTTATTGGACCTTCAACCTCTGGCAGAAGCAATATGAGACGAATTGGTTCTAGAAAACTTCAAACCACCACCATTGGTATCCTTCAATGGCAAGAGTGATTCGCAGGAGCATATCATCTCCATTAACAACCAAATGGCGATCGTCGGTGCTTCCAACTCCTTGAAGTGAAAACTCATGGCAAGAACTTTCAAGGACGTGACTTTGCGTTGGTACATGATGTAACGCCTGTAATTTAATTAATTATTTAATTAAATTCTTTTTGGAATATTTGTGAAGTTGTGTTGTGATTAGTTGGAATTAATTATTTTAAGTGGTGAAATAATATTAGAAGTATAATATTATTTGATGTGGGCTTGTTTAAAGGGATAGAAGTAGTAATAAGGGGGTGTTGCAGTTTTGAGCCCATTAAGGAATAAAGAGAATAATAGGTTATTTTACTATTGTTAGAAAGAAGAAGTAGTAGAAGAATAAGGGTTTGAGAGGAAGAACGTGAAGCTGTTGGAAAAGAGGAAGAACGACAGAACGAGAATTCAACCGGAAGTTATAGAGCGACCTTCAATCCAAGGTAAGGGTGGGGTTCTGACTCTATAATTGGGTTCATGATAATTGGTATGTGGGGTTAGATGTGAAAGTGTTGTTTTGTTCATGATTGAATTATATGTTGTTATATGATGAGAATTGATGATTGAAAGATGAATGATGACGTCCCCATGTTGTTTAATGGATGTAGACTTATAGGATACCTGTAAGTGATGATTATCCATGATTAGATTAAGTTTTTAGGGCTTAAAGTATGGAACCCGTAGTGAAAACGCATAGAAATCGCAGAAAATATCCTTAGCAGAGCAGCATGTGTCGACCCCAAAAGGTATGTGTTGATACATGAATGACGTTAGACTAAGGATGAGCCGACACGAAGGGGTCTTGCATCGATACACGAGGAATTTTAGACTCAGGATGAGTCGACACGAAGGAGCATGTATCGATACATGCAGTGTGACAGACTCAGTATAAGTCGATACAAGGGAGTAATGCGTCAACTCATGTGACGTGTTAAACTCAGTACGCGTCGACCCAAGACGTTATGCGTCGATCCATGTTGTCTGGTTTTTGGCAGAATCAATTTGAGAATGTTGTAACTTGAGTTTTCGGATTCCGTTTGAGGTGTCGTTCGAAGCGTTGAATAGCTAACGCGATAAGATTTATTCTTAAGGATTAAAATGAAGAATAGGAAGGATAATCCTAGTATTCGAATTAGGATTAATGTTAGTTCCCGTGGTAATTGCTATGTTGGTTTTTGTGAAGAAGGATGAGGATGAGACGTTTATAGATTAATGTCTGATTTGTAACAGTAGGATTAATGATGATATTGATGTAAAAATAATAGTATGTAGAGGTTTGGTGATTTAGAAGTAAGCATTAGTTGATTAACTAATTATAGGAAATATCTTGTATAAGCCTATGGACAATGTTGTGAAATTGATGAGTTACTGTCGTATTATTGTACGGCTGAGTTATTGATAAGATGATGTTAATGAGAGATTGTTTTGATGAATTATGATGTATGAATGATGTTTGATGATTTATGATGATAAATGATGATGATAAACGATGTTGATGAAAAGATGTTGAGATGCTTTTAAGATGTAGGCTTTTGGCCAATGGTGATGTTGTATTGAGATGTTGTCAATTATGGTATTGTCATTACATTCATGATTGTGTCGCATACATTGCATTTTGAGATGGAGCTTATGCTCGTTGAGATGACCTGTATTGGCGAATATTAAGATGAAGGCTTATGCCTTGTTAATGCCTCTATTAATTGGCAATTTTTGAGATGGGAGTTCTGCTCCAATGGTACCACATGCATTTGCATAGTATTGAGTTGCATTATATGATTGCATAAAGAAGTGTGTATTGATGTTGTGAATGTGTATTATTATTGTGATTATTGTCGATTATGAGATAAGAAGTGGTGATGTTATGTGATCTAATTTAATATATTAATTATCATACACTTTATTATATTTTTAGATATCTCACCTCTTATGTTTGAATGTTGCCCTTCTGTTGGTAACATACAGGTAATCGAGAGTGAAGGTGGTATACCTTCAATAGTTCGAGTTGGTGTCATTGCTCTGATATGTAACACTCGGGGGGATGAACGCTTGTTGCTTTTGATTGTTGATTATTCAGTTGTTGTACCTTAAGTTGATTATTATTAAATATGTGTTGTTTTGAAGTTACTGTAATGATGATTTAGATGTTACTAAGAATTCAACTGCGTAGATGTTTAAATTGTTGAATTAAGAGATTAAAGTGTTTTGTTGATGGTTCATCTGAAGTTTTAAAGTGTTACGTATCCACGATGAATGCAATGAGTTTTTAATGATGAATTTGTGGCATCTCGATTCGTTTGCATGAATGATTTTATAACTCTGATTTATTTATATAATTGCCGGGGTAGAATTGTGGTGTTACAAAGTTGGTATCATAGAAAAAGGTTGGTCCGACCTTGTCGTCGAGTCGTAGTTGTCTAACAATCGAGTATTGTTAATTTGAGTTCTAACCGTTGTTTATTTGGAGTGATAAGTTGAGATGGCTGGAAGGAATGATGCTTCACTTGCTGCTGCTTTAGAAGCAATGGCTCATGCGATGGAGAATCAACCGAATGCTGAAGGGAATGCTGGATCTCGTAGTTTGGCGACTTTCCAGAGAGAGAATCCGCCTACGTTCAAGGGAAATTATGATCTTGATGGAGCATTGGAGTGGTTGAAAGAGATTGATAGAATCTTCTGTGTGATGGACTGCACTCCAGCGCATAAGGTTCGATATGGTACTCATATGCTAGCAGTCGAGGCTGATGACTGGTGGCTAGAGACTTCTCAGAAGTTGGAAGCTAAAGGTGAGAATGTCACTTGGGCCGTGTTCCGTAGGGAATTTATAAAGAAATACTTTCCTGAAGATGTCCGTGGTAAGAAGGAGATTGAGTTCCTTGAGCTGAAGCAAGGGAATATGTTGGTCGTTGAGTATGCTGCCAAGTTTGCTGAGTTGGCCAAGTTTTATCCGCACTACGGTGAGGCGAATGCTGAGTTTTCGAAGTGTATCAAGTTTTAGAACGGGTTGCGTCCGGAGATCAAGAAGGCAGTTGGGTACCAGAAGATTCGTGTCTTTGCTGATTTGATTGATAGTTGCAGGATTTATGAGGAGGATAATAATGCTCATTACAAGATTATCAGTGAGAAGAGGGGTAAGCACCAACATAATCGTGGTAAGCCTTATGATACCCCAACTGGTAAAGGTAAAAAGAAATTTGCTCAGGGTCAGAGGACTAGTGGGGGAGATGCTCCTGCTGGTGTGGTTTGTTTTAAGTGTGGGAAACCTGGGCATAAGAGTAATGTATGTACTACTGAAGTGAAGAGGTGTTTCGGTTGTGGTAAGAACGGACATGTTATATCTGAGTGTGAACATAAGGACATGATTTGTTTCAATTGTAGAGAGGAAGGGCACATTGGTAGTCAGTGTCAGAAACCAAAGAGGATGCAGACAAGTGGTAAAGTTTTCTTTGGTTGAGGATCAGGCAGCTGTTGAGGACAGACTTATCAGAGGCACATGTTTCATTAATAGTACTCCTTTAATTACTATTATTGATACCGGTGCTACGCATTGTTTTATTGCTGCTGATTATGTTGAAAGATTGGGTATTATGTTGTCTTCTTTGAATGGAGAAATGGTTGTCGATACTTCAGCCAAGGGGTCGGTGACTACTTCTTTTGTGTGTTTAAAGTGTCCCTTGTCGATCTTCGACAGAGACTTTGCTATTGATTTGGTTTGTTTACTGTTA